CCAGGCAGCAAACATGGATATGCCCTACGGCCTCCTCCTTCCTCAGAGACTGCTCTCCCAGGGCCCCTCTCTCTAACTACAATGTGACACAGGTCGTTAGTCCTCCTGCACAGCAGTTGTCCTATGATTTGCTTCATTGTTCTCTTGGGTTGGAGTCATTTTTTCCTGGATCTCATGCATTTTATGTAGGCCCCATTTAGAGGAGGCATACCATCAACCAACCATGTAAGAAAGACTATTTTTATTTTCTGACTATTTGTGTCTGGGTAGATATGTATAGGATTCTAGGTTGCAAATCTTTTCCCCCTCATGCAGCGGGATCCCGGGCCGCGCCGGGCGCTGGGCACCTCCTGAACGGCCTGCTCGCTTCCCGCTGCCGACCAATTGCACACCCTCCCTTCCAACACCTAGCCGACCTCAGGTTGGTAGTGGGCCCAGCTCTGCGCTGGGTATGGGTATGAGAGGCTCCTAAGCCTGTAAGGACCTAAGGTCACAAAGGATCCCGACCTTTCTCTGTGCAGATCTTGGCTTCACGCGTTCCCGACTGCAGAGCCATAATCAAGAAACCGAATCCCTCCGAGTCTCGGTCTTTTTGTGTGTAAAGCAGGGGAAATACCTCGTTGACAGTGTTGCCAGGAGTATATGCAGGACGTAGTTAATGATTTTGTCATGTGTTGACTTTGTTAGGATACCTTAAATATCCTGTATTAATATTTTTGCAATCAGTTAAAAAAATATTAGAGCTGTTTTCCCACCAACGTAATTGGCGCTTAAATCGCTTAAATGGAATACCAGCTGAAAATCCTACCTCCGCAAGTAAAAGATCTGGACAATCCCTATGGTGTCTCCAGCAGGTTTAAGTGAAGGAGGACCAAAAGAAGGGACTAAAAATTAAAAGTACTTATTTTTCATATTCAAGGAAGGAAGGAAGAGACTTTTGGCTCAAGTTCAAGATATTTAGAGAAAACCTCACATCAGTATACAGACAGTGAGAATCAGCCAATCGCCGACAGCCTCACTACAGTGGCTCTGCTTCTGAAAGTCAGCCGGTCAACAGCTTCTCCCCGTAACTCAGTTTCTGAAAGTTAGTAAATCAATCGCGGGCCCCAGGCTTCTGAAAGTGAGCCAATCATTGGCAGCTCCACGCGGGCACCAGCCAATCAGCAAGTGCCTCACTCCAGGGACCAGGCTTCTGAAAGTTCGCCGGTCCTCACGGTGACCTGACAACAGTGACCACGCTAACAGAGCCTCAAGTCGGCCCGTCGCTGGACTCTCCCGATTCTGAACCCGCCAATTCCTGAACGCTAGGCTTCCCCAAGCCCATAAGATCAGTTCTGGTTTTGTTTAGGGAGATGGTGCCTTACAAGTACAGCTTTCTTTTGCTGACCGACGAGAAATTAATCTTCTTTTTTTTCTTTTAATCATACTGAGTTCAATATTCCCCCACCTTGTCAAGTCCTAGGTTCGTAACCCTTCCAAGATTCAATTCTCGCCGTTATGAGTTTGGACTAGTGACAAGCGCAATGTCAAAGCCATGAGATTTTTAAAAGACAACTTTTTCAATTCTTGTGACAGCTGCTATTACCTTTTTTTCTTCCTTTATTTTATTTTTTACAACTCTATGGATATGTTTTTAGAACGTTTTCATCACCCTTTTAGTAGTCATTCTACCATTTCTCTAACCACCCTAGCCTTGGGGAATCACTAGTCTTTCTCTCTACATATGGCATTGTCTATTCTAAACATTTCATATAACAGAATCATGCAATATGTGGTCCTTTGTGACTGACTTTTTTTCATTTGGCATAATTTTTGCAAGTTTCATTTATGTTGTAGCATATATCAGAATTTCTTTTTTTTCACCCCAGAATTTCATTTTTTAAGGTTGAATAATATTCCATTGCATGGATATCTTTTTTGGTTTGTTTGTTTAAAATATGTCTCCTTTTCCCCAGTTGACACCCTCCCCACTCACACCCCCAGGACAAGCCCCCACCTCCCCAGTATCTGTGTCCATTGGTTATGCTAATATGCATGCATACAAGTCTCTGAGGTTGGACTGTCTGTTCAGTGTTTCTTTGTCTCTGGATCTATTTTTTAAAAATGTTTTATTGATTTTTTACAGAGAGGAAGGGAGAGGGATAGAGGGTTAGGAACATCGATGAGAGAGAAACATCCATCAGCTGCTTCCTGCACACCCCCTACTGGGGATGTGCCTGCAACCAAGGTACATGCCCTTGACTGGAATCGAACCCTGGACTCTTCAGTCTGCAGGCCAACGCTCCATCCACTGACCCAAACCGGTCAGGGCTCTCTGGATCTATTTTTGTTCATCAGTTGCTGATTTTGGGACCTACCACAGTGGGAAAACTTGATTTGTTGCTTTCAGATGTTAGGTCTATTTACCTAACACTTCAGCAGGCTTTTTCAGTGGGTCTTCCTCCTCCTGGGCCTGATTTTCTAATTCCTTATGATATACAAGCTGGTGTTGCAGGTAATTTGTGTTGTTCTTCTGTTCATCCAGGTACATTCTCACGAAGCATAAGATATTAGAGTCATTGTTGGCAGAGCTATGGTCTTCAGGTCTAACAGGAGCTTGGTTAACTTGTTCTCCAACTCCAGGGCAGACTAGACCTTGTATACCAGTCCCCCAGTTATCTCTCAGGCCTTTTACTAACTGGAAGGCAGATTTACTCTCATATCCTCATAGATATCTTAGGAATTGCTGTCCACGTTCCCTCTTCACCTCAGCTTGGTTTCCAAAGAATGTGACAAAATGAGATTCTTCTGGGTCTTCAATATAATAACAGGCCATAGAAAAATAAGCATCACTGATGTGCAGCTCATAAGATGCCATGTGATTAATAGCAACCGTATACTTCCCAGAGAGGGGGTGCTTGGCTGCCATCTCAGCTTTAGAGAACACCAGGCATAAACAGTGCTCTATTTTTCTTTTTTAAAAATATTTTTTTTATTGATTTCAGAGAGGAAGGGAGAGGGAGAGAGAGATAGAAAAATCAATGATGAGAGAGAATCATTGATTGGCTGCCTCCTGCACATCCCCTGCCCATAACCCATACCTCCTTGTTCATAGATTGACACTCAACCTCTGAGCCAAGCTGGTCAGGCTATTTTTTCTTTAGTTACTTGCACTTTTACTGTCTTATTTAAAAAACCATTGCCTAATTCAAGGTCATAAGGATTTACCCCTACATTTTCTTCTAAGAGTTTAATATTTTTGGCTCTTACATTTAGGTATTTGATCCATTTTCAGTTAAATTTTATGTAGGGGATAGGTGAGAGTCCAACCTCTTTTGTATGTGGCTATCCAGTTGTCTGAACACCATTTCTTGAACAGACTATTCTTTTCCCATTTATTTTTTTAAAATATATTTATTGATTTTTTACAGAGAGGAAGGGAGAGGGATAGTTAGAAACATCGATGAGAGAGAAACATCAATCAGCTGCCTCCTGCACACCCCCTACTGGGGATGTGCCTGCAACCAAGGTACATGCCCTTGACTGGAATCGAACCTGGGACCCTTCAGTCCGCAGGCCAACGCTCTATCCACTGATCCAAACCAGTCAGGGCTCTTTTCCCATTTAATTGCCTTAGCAACCTTGTTGAAAATTGTTACCTCTTTTTGGTTTGAATCCCAAAATGCCAAAATGCAAGTGTGAATTTCATGATGAATTTTCTGAACAGTGGACATTTATTAAATGAGAAAAAGCCCCTTTGAAACTCTTTGTGCAGTGTGCAAGTGTTCATTCAATATTGAAAATGATAGAAAGTCAGATACAAACCAGCATATATTAACAGCTAGGAATAAAATGTGTGATTTCTTGAACTTGTATCAAAGTAAGCAATAAAACAATTTTGATTAAGGGAAATTTAGCCCTCGCCAGTTTTTCTCTGTGGTTAGAGTGCTGACCACTCTAGACCAGTGAAGGGTCTTGGGTTTTATTCTGGTCAAGGGCACTTACCTCGGTTGCAGGCTCCTTGGCCCCTCTACAACGATATTTCTCTCTCTCTGTCTCTCCCCCTCCCTTCCACTCTCTCTGAAAATCAATGGGGCCTGGCCTGTGTGGCTCAGTGGGCCTATGAACCAGGAGGTCTCGGTTCAATTCCTTATCAGGGTACATACCTGGGTTGCGTGCTTGATCCCTAGTGTGCAGTGTGTAGGAGGCAGCCAATCGATGATTCTCTCTCATAATTGATGTTTCTATCTCTCTCTCCCCCTCTCCTTTCCTCTTGAAATCAATAAAAAAATATTTTTAAAAAATCAATGGGAAAAATATCCTCAGGTGAGAAATTTAGATGAGAAGATAAAATAATCATAGCAGAGGCTGTGATGGCTGCCCACACTATATATTGTCATTCTTTCAGCTCAGATAACTCTTTATATTTTCCTTTTCTAATCCTTACCTGAGGATATGTTTTTCATTAATTTGAGAGAGAGAGAGAGAGAGAGAGAGAGAGAGAGAGATCAAGCGCCGACTACAGGATTAAACCCACAGCCTGGGTATGTACCCTGACCGGGAATCGAACCCAAGACCCTTTGGTGCACAGGATGATACTCACCAGTGAGCGACCAGCCAGGCTTCAGATGACTCTTTGTACTGCTACGAGAAGTATTTTCTAATTCCAAATTTGCAAGCAAAATTCCAAATGCCAGGACAAAATTACTGCAATAATTTAAAATGTAATAACTCCATTTCCTGTTGCAGTCATTATCAAAGCTCAAAATGGCTCATCTTTGTATGGTATCATCATGGATGCAAGTAATTACAATGCAGAAAAATGTTCTCTTTGCTTTGCAATACTCTTCTTGTGAAAAAGCTCCCTTATAAGGCTGTATTGAACAAAATCCCTTCCAGATGAGACTTCAGACTTTCTTTTTATTTATTGGTTGATTTTAGAGAGAGAGGGAGAGAAACATCAGTTTGTTGTTCCACTTATTTATGCATTCGTTGGCTGATTCTTGTATGTGTCCTGACTGGGGATCAAAGCCATAGCCTTGGTGTTTTGGGGATGGCGCTGTAACCAACTGAGCTACACGGCCAGCACCAGAAACTTTCTTATTGAGTTAGGAAATTGTACTGCTTTTAGTGGAGATAATACAAATGTTAGTAGATGTTTGCATAAGGTGCAGACTTGTTTATTCAAAGTTTCAGTAAAACATGAATGATTCTTTGAAAGCTATTGGCTGTCCTGCTTGTATTCTGTATAATGTTGCTCAAAGAGCATCTGATGTCCTTCCTACTGACTTTGATGTAATTGTCATGAAATTGTTCTCTTACACCAGCACTTACACTGTTAAAACCCAAGTAATATTGTTGCCATTCATTATCCTTCATTTCTCTTGCCTTCAAAAACCTAGCCAGTGTAGCTGCCCTAGCCAGTTAGTGCCCTAGCTAGTTTGGTTCAGTGGATAGAGCATCAGTCTGCAGACCAAAGGGTCCCACGTTCGATTTTGGTCAATGGCACATACCTCCCTCTTTTCTCTTGGGCCCTGGTTGGGGCTTGTGCGGGAGGCAACCAATCAATGTATTTCTCTGACATGGATATTTCTCTATCTTTCTCTTTCTCTTCCACTCTCTCTAAAAATCAATGGAAAAATATCCTTGGGTGAGGATTAAAAACAAACAAACAAATAAGAAATGTATTTTGGGTATTAACCCCTTATCATAGCTGCTATTTGCAAATTCTTTCTCCCATTTGTTGGGTTGCCTTTTTGTTTGGTTGGCAGGGTGTTTTGGTTTGTTTTTTTTTAATCTTTTTTTAAATTGATTTCAGAGAGGAAAGGAGAGGGATAAAGAGAAAGAAACATCAATGATGAGAGAAAATCACCAATTGGCTGCCTCCTGCATGCCCACACTGGGGATGGAGCCCGCAACCTGGACATGTGCCCTGACTGAGAATCAAACTGTAACCTCCTGGTTCATAAGTCAACACTGAACCACTGAGACATGCTGATCTGGCTTGATTCTTCTTTTATTAATTTTTTTTGAGAGAGATAACGATATTGATTTGTTGTTCCACCCATTCATGCATTCATTGGTGACTCTTGTATGTGCCCTGATTAGGAATCAAACCTGCAACCCTGGCACCTTTTACATGGATATTACTAAAGACTCTTCCAACATAGGAATGAGTGGAATTATCATGTATAGTATTGAAGTAGGAAGGAATAAATATTGATAAGAGTGTTCTTCGTTTTTGGTCAGTGGACCACATTTTTAAAAGTTATTGACTAAGAGATCAATATAATACTGAAAAGCAGAAAAAGAAAGCATGCCATGAAAGATGGTATTTGCTTCAACAAACCAAATTTTAAGAGCTATTTTCAGAGTTGTTAACTTTATCCTAGTACATGTTAGGTATACTGGCTCATAAAATTAACATTGAGCATGTTTTCTCATTAATGAATGTTCAATAGACAAAAGAACTAAATAAGTTAGATGTGACCAGTGTAGAAGCCATGATACAAAAAAATGAACATAGATTGTATCTTCAAGGAATTTTATTAGCAAATTCCATAAAACAAGGAACTAGTAAGGAGAACAAAGTGGT